ATCGTGCTCACATTCTCGTCGACTCGGGCTTGGCTTTTGGTCGCCCTGACATAGCACGACCGTGACAGGCTCTGGTTCCCCTTTGCTACTCCCACCCCCGTGGGAGTGTTGAACTTTAGGCATAAGTGGACGGGGGAGATTACGCACTCCAGGTCCTCCAACCCTGGTCGTCCCAGAATCAGATGGTGTGCACAGTCGAGCTGTACTACCATAAATTCCATGTCAACCCAGAGTCGGTGGGTGCCATCTCCTACCCCGGCCTTTACCGTGATAGTTCCTTCCGCTTCGATAGTATCCCCTGTAAATCCTGACAGCGGCGTATGGATTGGCTTCAGGTCGCTTCGGGACAATCCCAACTCCTTAAAGGTGTTGCTGTACATTACGTTGACTGAGCTGCCCGTATCGACCAAGGTTCGGTGAACAACCACATTATTGATCTCCACTCTTATCACCAGAGCGTCCCTATGAGGACTGAGGACTGGGGGATAATCCTCGTCTGTAAAGATCAGGGGTTCCTTCTTCTTTCGCTTAGGCAGCGGTGGCCTTTGTACCTCGACCAGGTACACCATGTTCTTCCACTTCTTCCGGGAGGATACCGAATCTCCTCCAGTGTTTCCTCCCATGATGAACCGACACCCCAGGTGTCGGCGACCTTGCCTCTCCTCCTCATCTAGGTCATCACAATCTCGCCCTAGGTGCCGCCGTCCATCTTCTTGCCCCTCTCCTGTTGTGATCGCTGCCGTGGGGGCTGGCGGCCTCCTCCAGGTCCGGTTACTTGTGGACGGTCGCTCTGACCGAGCAGGTGGCCCTCTAGCGATCAGCTGATCCATCTCCTTCTTCAGCGTAACGCACTCCGACGTGTTATGGGTGCTGTTACGGTGGTACTCGCAGTATTTGGGTGCATCTTGCACACCATAGCTTTCCCGACCATGAGGAGGGGCCGGCAACGACTGGACCGCGTGAACGGGATGCCTGTTCGCATGATACCCGGTGGGGTTCGGCCCCTTACCATATTCCTTCCTCTTCTTTCCTTCTGCCACCGGTGGCCCGCTTTTCTTCTCCTTCCGGACTGGTGGCTCATCATCTTCCTCTTCCAGCGCCAGGTACTTTGCCCTGGCCAACATCTCTTGATAGGTCGAGAGAGGATTCCGTCGCAGCTCCTTACGCACATCCCCTTGGGGGAGTGCAGCTTGGAGCATGGCGATCAAGGCTTGGTCGTTAGCCCCTTGGACATCCCTAGCCTCCTTCTCCCACCTATTAATGAACTCCCGGAGCTGTTCCCCCTTCCGGATCTTCACATTGAGCAAATGCGAGAAGGGGAGCTTTTGTCTCCGGCTGGACGCGAAGTGCTCCAAGAACTTGTGGGCCAGGTCGCCCCACTTATCTATCGACCCCTTGGGTAACTTGTGAAACCACTCACAAGCCTGCCCTTCCAGTGTCGCCAGGAAGCACCGACACTTGATTTCTTCTGGATACGCGTACATGACCACGTTGGCCCCGAAACGAGCGAGGTGGTCTTGGGGATCGGTCGTCCCATTGTATGCCTTGATCTGGGGAGTCTTGAAATTATCTGGGAGAGGGCAGGACATTATCCTCCTGGAGAAGGGCGTTACCTCACTGAAGACCGCCTGGC